GAAAATCGGATGCAGTGTGAATCCAGCATAAGACACAATGCGAGGACATAGTGATAGCGATAGGAATAACATGATTTCAACCTGTCAGAAATAGGATATATCGGAATACACAGTTTCTGATAGGTTGAAATCGTGTTATTTCTATCGCTATCGCTATTCCCTCGCATTATGTTTTGAGCTTTATTGACATTGATAAATACATTATTGAGACATTATTAAGACGTCATTATTTAACATTATCTTGTTACTTGGAATATCTGTATATTTTGTTTTCTCTACTTATAAAAAATTTTTGATAAGATAATTGGGGGAAGACGCCACACTTAAGCCTTTATTCTTGAATAATTTCTTAATGTTATTGAATTAAGTTACGAAAAAATATTATTAATATTCTAGAAACCTTTCTTTATTTACACAAATTTATAAATTTAACATTTAATATTCCGCATTATTGAAAAAAATTGATATATCATACCTTGCAAAAGTGACATCTTCCACCTATATATGTGGATAAGATGCTACCTCTTATGGGAGAAGATGTTACAAACAATTAAATAATGCGATGTAATATAAACTTACATATTTTACTTATTTACAGTCCATAATAAAGAGTTTAAGCTATAAAAACACATAAAGATATGATAAAACATAAATTGAGGAAATATGAAAGAGAGTATAATTTAGGGAGTAAGTAATAAAACGTACTTTTATTCGTTTAAACAGCATTTCGTTAATTTAAAATATTTCGATTATATAAAGCATCCAAAATTTTAATTCATAAAATCATTTTAATGATAGCTTCAAGCAGGAAAAATTATATTTTGTATTTACTGTCATCTTATCCCTAAGTGTAAGAGGAATATTCAATTGCAATTTTTACGCATGTAAGGCCGGAATCAGACTATGCATTGAAGATTGAGATTGAAGATTGAAAAATTCAAATTTGACCAATAAAAATATTACAAATTATAATCTATATCATCCACATGACCGCCAGAGAACACTGATTGAAACCGTATATTATTTGCCCGGTTTTACAGTAAGCATCGAAATACAGACATTAGCTATTAACATACCAAATATTACAAAGAGCATGTTTCACGACTTACCTTTTCGTATTTCGTATAATCTTTTCCAATCGATATTTACATGAACATATTCATCTAAGCCGATAACTATATAAGCGCAATTGTTTATCACACGTTTTTGCACAGTTGGTATGGTCAACGCGCGTTCTATGAAGAAACTATAAATAAAATAGCGTCTTCCCCATTATGGCATAGTCCCTCGAATTACCTTATATTAATGAAAAAATTTTCATTTCATATTTTTCTGAATTTTTCATAAGAATTTTTCATTTTAAATTTATGAAATATTAAATTTTTGGAAAAATTTCTCTTAAACTTCAGATTTTATAAATTTTCTTTAAAAATTATAAAATGAGAAGTTTTCAGCATTTTAGAACTGACATAAAATTATAAAGAATTCTAGAAAGATGTAGATTTTTTTCAACACTTTTAATTAAGTGTTTCAATTCATATAAAAAAATCTGAATAATTTCTTGAAAAATTATAAAATTGTACATAAAAATTCTGAAATTTGTTTAGAAATTTTTAAAATTATATGAAGAATTCTAAGAAAAATTTTCAGGGTAGCTATATATAATTATAACAAAATGTAAATGAATCATTAAACAAATAATAAAAATATGAATGAAATAGAGAACCACTTAATATATTACTTGAAAAACATTTCATTAATTTTTTCCCTCTTCCTCTTCTTTATTAGTATCTTTTATTTTCTAGATAAAACATTATAGCACCGGCTCGAGCGAGCCGCAATTCATGGGAATCAATAATACCTTCACCAATACTATCCAATTCGTCAATGAAGAAAATTATGAACCTATTCCGATATATAGGATTTTGGAAGCTTCACAGAAGGCTAAATTACCTGAAGACGAAAAAGTTTGATTATTATATCACAGTTATAAAAGTCACATACAACTTAAGGATACATATTTTTTCAAGTCATAACTTCCATTTTTATCATATACAGGGTGTCTCATTTTAAATAATGCATTAAGATTTTTCGAAAACTATGGTAGATATGGTTGTAACGGCAAAAACCTTTTGAATGTTGTTTAAGATTGTGTCCTGGATAACATTTGTCAAGATCAAGGTCATTGGAGGTTGTACCTCTTATTTTCATTTTTACGTAAAAATGAATTTTTAGTGCAAAAATGAAAATAAAAGGAATAATCTCCAATGCTAATGCCGGCTGTACTGTAACTTTCAAGTCTTATAACTCAAAAAATACTTAATGAAAAAATATTTTATTATAGTGTTTTGAAAAGCTCTCGAGGTAAGCTACAAGAAAATGTAATGAAAAATAGGGGGTTCCACTTAAAAAAATCGACGTGACACCTTGACCTGGCCTTGGCGATGCCACCCAAGGTTAAATCAATGGTACCTTCTTATATCTCCCTCCGAACCATACAACTTTTGTTTGAAACGTTTTTCCGTATCTATCAGTTTTCGAAAAATCTTAATACATTATTTAAAATAGGACACCCTGTATACTTATATTGACTTACAATATTTCTTTATGGAAGTCTATAAAATTCTATATAAAAAAGAATTAATTTTTGAACAGAGTTTTATTTGACTTAAGTTCATTTAGAAGTATTAATCACAAATAAAATTCTGAATTAAACTAAAAATTAGATGTGAACCGAAATAAGGCACAGGAAACTAAATATTATATTCTTGTATTACAGCTAAATGAAGTATATCTGGAAAAAATGTATTGCGATATGGTGACCATAAACGTTATGGATAAGATAATGTACGGGTTGCATAGACAAGGTCGCATATCGTTTTACATGACTAATACAGGCGAAGAGGCTGTGCAGATCGGATCGGCCGCTGCTTTAACTCTAGAAGACACGATTTACGCACAGTATCGTGAGGCTGGTATGAAATTGCATTATGCGTTATCCATCTATTTACTGTTATACGCATCTAAAATATGATATATATAACAGGCGTGTTGCTGCATCGCGGGCAACCCTTAGCGAAGTTTATGAATCAATGTTACGGCAACTGCGAGGATGACGGCAAAGGGAGGCAGATGCCGGTGCACTATGGTTCTAAAGAATTGAATTTTATGACTATTTCATCTCCATTAACAACGCAACTCCCACAAGGTATTAACATTTACAAGTTTATTAAATAGTGTCGACGATTGTTGCTTCACTTAGGTTGTCATACTTAATGAACGAAAAAGCGTCCTGAAATGAAGATCTTTATTATCGCAGCTGTGGGAGCTGCCTATGCCTTTAAATTGGACAAAAAAAACGCATGTGTGGCTTGTTACTTTGGCGAAGGTGCCACAAGCGAGGGCGATGCCCATGCGGCATTCAACTTTGCTGCTACTTTATCATGTCCTGTTGTTTTCCTCTGGTAATTTTTAAAAAATTCTTATTCTTATTTCATGAAATAAATGATCATATTATTTCAGTCGAAATAATGGATATGCTATCTCCACGCCAGTCTTAGAACAGCTTAAGGGAGATGGTATCGCGGCCAAGGGTCCGGCTTACGGAATTAACACGATCCGAGTGGACGGCAACGACGTACTCGCAATGTACTATGCTACAAAAAGTGCTAGGGAGTTCTGCATAAAGCAAAAGAAACCCGTTTTGATAGAAGCCATGACTTACAGGTGAACAAATGTTAATTAACATATAATTTTAATTAACACGATAGCTAAAATTAAAAAATCACTAATAAAATAATACACAAAATAAAATTCAAAGCAAAGTTATATCGAGTATGAGTCATTACAGTAAGTTAAAATCTTGATAATCTTTCTTGCTGGAATACTTATTTCTGTAAAACAAAACTTTCATTTAATTAACAAATTACACATTATAAAAAAATCTTTTAGAATCGGACATCATAGCACATCAGACGACTCCACGGTTTATCGATCGGTCAACGAGATTTCTCAATGGGATGCCCATTCGCCACTTGTTAGGTTCCGTCTGTATCTAGAATCACTTGGATTATGGTGCCAAAAGAAAGAGCAAGAATTAATAGATTCTACTAAAAAAGAAATTTTTCGTGCCTTTGGAGAGGCAGAATGCAAATCTAAGCCACATTGGAAGAATCTGTTTACGGACGTCTACAAAGAAATTCCTGATCACATCAGAAAGCAAATGAATCAAATGGAGAAACATCTCGAAGAATTCAAAGAACATTATCCATTAAGTTCTTTCACACATACAAAATAAAAGAGAAGAATATATTGTGTAAATGTAAATTTTATATTCTTTTATTTTAATAATATAAAGCACTAAACACCTATACGAGAACATTCTTTACAGAACATTTTTTTCCTCTCCTTGCCTTTCATCTCTATTGTTTTATATTGTCCGCAATTTCTTTGTATTTTTCCATCCTAAATTCTTTTTTTGCTGCATTGAGCAATAGATTATGAAGTAAATTTTGTTCATACTGATTGTACTGTTCTACGCTTGGATATATATTACCTGAAAAAAAAAAAAAAAAAATATCATATAAATAAAATTTTTACTTGGCTTATTGAAGAATTTTTTAAGTAAATTCTGTACCTCTGAGCTCTAAAATTGCCCTATCATAGTGAATTGTAGGATATATGTTTGGTGCTTTGTGAAGTTTTGTGAATGAGGTGGTATAATTCTGATATCTCGGTACAAGAACTTTGAATAGTTTATGCATCAGTTGCTTCTCAAGTATCCAAAAATTTGCCAAGTCCATTGTTTCCTTATGTTCGGGTCCATGACGTATCGCCTCAAATATCAACTATAAAATAAAACGTCATTATAAGATTTTTAATACCGAATATATATGAAATAAGATTCAGAAAAAAATATCAATAATGTTGATCACAATGATTCATTAGAATTATTAATGAAACGTACAAAAAAAATCAAATGCAAAATAATATCAAGTATGGATTACGATAGCTGTAATAATTGAAATTATTAAGACAACAGTATATTAAAAAAAATAAGATTCATAGTAAAAAATAATGTCACATATGAATCATGATGGCAAGTTAAAGTTGTTAATAAGACAACAATATACAAGATTTATAGAGCAAAATATACAGAGTGTAAGTTGCAACAGCTAAGTTAAAAATTAATGAACGCGATCACAATCGTTCATGCTCTTTGAACTTGTTGAGCAAGAAACGTGTCTTCGTCATAATAAACATTGTGTCTGTCTCCTAAATAATACAATACGAATGTATAAAGTCAATGAACATACCTGGTCAACATAACCTCTGGTCTCGTCGGCTCTCCGATAATTTAACTCGAGTCGCTCGTATTTAATCAATGCCGTCAGAGTTTTCTGAAATTTACGAAGTCGTCCCTCTGGACCGTCGGAATTTCCAAATTTTCGACGTGGCTTGACATTGTATCTCAATTTATTTACTAGATTCTCAACATTCGCTTGATTCATCTTATTAACTCTTATTATCTTCTTCTTCTTCTTAGGGTGAAATCACACGGTGTATAGTTAATGGCTCCTGCCTCCTTACTATAAGCGGAGGCAATACAGCCAGATCACGTCTAATCCTTTCTTCTGGACTGATGTACTAGAGGGGCTCCAGATGAATTCGGCGCTGTGAGACAAAATATTGGCTACGATAGATGTCCTTGTTTATCCTGTAAGTTAAACAAAGCATCTAACGTATAGGTCGCGGACTAAGCGCATGGTGTAAACGTAGCCAGTGCCTCATTTATCGCTACTTAAAGAGGTCGCGATCCTCGCGACGGAAGGGCAAGCGGAATTGTTAAGCCTTGTGACCACGATGTTAGAAATCGATTTGAGATCTCGGATAGAGAGAAAGTTACTAAAACTCAAATCGTGGACACCTTTGACTATATACCTCTGGACTGCTAGTTACCCCCACTTTTCCTACCTTTTCCATAAGATAGAAAGAGAGGACCGTGTATCCAAGATCTCAGAGCCATCAGGTCCGGAAGTTGGCCAAATCAAGAACTAACTAGCTGCATTTTAAGTAAGAATCGGTACGAATAACTCCGAATAAAAAATTGAAGTGATCCAGAAGTACTGCTAAATAAAAAAATGGTTCGTTCTTGTTTTGCTAAATTATGTAATAATACCAGATACAAAGCTGTAGGAGTAATTAAATGTGATGCGGGAAAAATACAGATTTAAAATCAATTCAAAAAAGGTACCAAATTTAATAATAAAATAAAGTACATATTACAGTACAATAAAATATACATGAAAAGAAACACGGTAGGACAAATCTAAATAAAATATATCTGAAGAAAATAATATATATAATTATAAGCTAATATATATGTATACTTTTTAT